TAACTCAACAAACAAACAAACAAAAATCATTTCCAAGACTGTTTATCTCAATATTGTGAAACCTAATTACATTATGTTTTTGTAAGTAAATTGTTTGTCACAACAGCGTATATTAACTCTCTGTGGAATCCGCCATTTCCAAGACTGTTTATCTCAATATTGTGAAACCTAATTACCTTATATTTTTGTAAGTAAATTGTTTGTCACAACAGCGTATATTAACTCTCTGTGGAATCCGCCAGGTTCACTCTTTTTAATAAGAAGATAACTGAGTTTTTACCATTTGCAATTTTTAATGATATCAACATAACTTTTCAGACCATAAAAGCAATCATTCCTTGGCTTTTGGTGCAGCAATTGTAACCCCTGTGTGCTGGAAATTAAAAGCAATCTTTATGAGCATGCATCTAATAAAGAAATTGAAATACGATGTTCATTTCGTGCTTTTATAATGGAGTATTAATTCATAACTGTTATCCGACTTCCTGTCGTCCGCCAGATGTCGTACAATACCATGGGAAATTTGGAACTCCTCGAGCTGTTTAAAGTAATCAAGGGCTTTATTATACAATGTTGCATGTACCTCCTATCTGAAACTTAGGAAACAAATTTTGTTTTCAAACATTTCTTGTTCCGAAAGTAAACAGCCATTGGTACAAAATACAGAACCATATGGCATAATTGTCACAAACATGTATGTATGTATGTATGTATGTATGTATGTATGTATGTATGTATGTATGTATGTATGTATGTATGTATGTATGTATGTATGTATGTATGTATGCATGCATGTATGTATGTATGTATGTATGTATGTATGTATGTATGTATGTATGTAGACCCAGATGGTTGCGTATGCGAAGTGCACGAAGCACACAGGCGCCGCCGCCGAGGAATATGATTGATAAACCCGGCTAGGTGAGTGTGCAAATTTCGGAAAGGCGAAGAAAAGGCGCCAAACATTCATCGCACACACAAGAAAAACACCATGTACGTACGTACGTACGTACATACGTATGTATGTATGTATGTATGTATGTATGTATGTATGTATGTATGTATGTATGTATGTATGTATGTATGTATGTATGTATGCATGCATGCATGCATGCATGCATGCATGCATGCATGCATGTATGTATGTATGTATGTATGTATGTATGTATGTATGTATGTATGTATGTATGTATGTATGTATGTATGTATGTATGTATGTATGTATGTAGGGTGGGTAGGTAGGTAGTTAGGTAGGCAGGCAGGCAGACAGACAGGCAGGCAGGAAGACAGGAAGGCAGCCAGGTAGGTAGGTAGGTATGTTTGTATGTATGTATGTGTATGTGTTTGTATGTGTGTATGTGTGTGTTATAATCTTAATTTCCTATCAAGTTATTTAATATTTAAGACCTTACCTATAGTCGGAGACAATCCACTACGTTATCAACCTGTGTGCAGAAATTTCCTCGTTTTTCAAGAGTTTTCCTAAACCAATTTATGTCTTAAGCAAAACAATGTGATAATCTCTAACACACAAATAAAAGTTGCGTATTTTATCTGTCGTGCTTAGAAAAACTGATTGTCGCGTTAGAACAGCTTGATCGGTCATGATGGGCCACAGTGCCCTGAAAGTTTTACTCGCGCTTATTGGATAAGAAAGTTAATACATAGCAAACATTTTCATAAGCGCTTATGGGTGATAAAGGAGCCAAGCGGTTTGCGACGAAGGTCATAACTCCATATTCGCGTAATTTATCAATTTGAATACATATCAGGCTCAAAATTACTATTGTCTTGAGTCGTATATTAGAGATGTTGTTAAACATATTTAACAGATATTTGCATCTAAATTTATTATAACTTTATAAATGGTCCCAAGCACGTGCAAACCACGTCCAAGACCGATGGACAAGAATCGTGACGCACACTGCAAATTTAAGTGCCAACATGACAGCTATATTGAAAGGACACTCACGTCGATAACCATAGACGGAATTTGTATTGGCTCATCTTTTCATAATTTTATCTTCAATTTCTCTTAATAGATTGCTCATTTTTTTTTTCGTGATATCAATATTGTCTTTGGGGCCTTGGGCTTCGTAATATTTCATCCTCATTGACAAATTAATCACTAAATGATAATCTCCTAATGCACATGCGCGGCGCGCTTTTACAGCAGTGCGTAATGCTCATGCTTCATTCATAAAATGAACGATATGTTGAATGTTGAATAAAATGTTTAAATAATCTTTTTACCAAGTTGTGTTGTTTCTATAACATTACAGAACGATTACTATGATTGTATTAAACATATAATGAAAAGACTGTAGACAGAGTATAAAAAGTATTGAACTTTCAAGTGGCGTCGATTACACTCGAAACTCCTTCTTCCTGTGCCATATAACCTTTGATTCAATATTTTTTATACTCAATTATTAGCCTATGCTTGTTGTTGCTTTGAAATATGTTCTATTTGAATTATTTATTCATTGAAAGCTATCATAATTTCAGTTTTAGCCTTCTTTTAAGTTTTGTAATTACGGGATGAGGCCGTTAAAAAGTTAAGGAGCTTCGTAAATACGGGACCAGGCCGTCAAACAGTTAAGGAGTTTCGTGCATACGAGACTAGGCTGTCAAACCGTTATGTAAATTCCTAAATACAGGAAGAGACCGTCAAACATTAAAGGCATTTCGTAATTACGCTTCCAGGCCTTTTAAGCATTTGGTGCGTTTCATAATTATGGATCTAGGCCACATGTACAGATGTTTTAATAAATTGGAATTGTTTTGATAACCTTCTAATTAGCTTGCTTTGCTTATTATGGCGCAAGTTTAACAGTAAATTAAACAATTTGCATTAATTTAAATATTGTATCGAGTCTAGTACTCCACGGGTTTTTTTTCAATATAAGATTAAAAGAAGCTTCAAAATTTTAAAGATTCGCCAACTTTCGTTCTTTAAGAGATCTCTTTTTTTTTACAATTCTCGATATCTATGTGCATTAACTGTGCTATTATTTTTTGATCCCTGACATCAACAAAACCATTTCCATTATAAAGACAAATAATATGAAATTATTTTAGATCTGAATGCAATTGAAAACCTTGATATAATTATTGTGAAGTTGAGGGCATATACACATACACTTAACTTACATTTCCATCAAATAGTGGGTCTTTTCTATATGAAGTCACGCTGAAATTCAGTAGCAGTATGTTTTTAACAGTAACAAGGTGTGGCCAAGACGAACAAGCCCATATAAACTCTACCCATGATTAAAATGTGATTATGATTTTTAACGTAGCTTTAACAATTTTTCAGTCATATAGATACGATGTCTGCAGTTTGGCAGTTTATAGTGATTTCTATCACCGAAGCATCATGCCGCAGACTCTCTGACTTTGCATTTCTCCCAATCCAATCCTCCCCACCCCTACTTCCTTGTTTTTTTTTCTATAGTTATTGTGATGTGATTATGATTTTTAACGTAGCTTTAACAATTTGTCAGTCATATCGCTATGATGTCTGCAGTGTGGCAGTTTATAGTGATGTCTAGCACTTGGGAATCATGCCGCAGACATGTAGCATGATGTCCCACCCAGTCACATTATCCTGACAACAGGCCGACCAATCCTAATACTAAAACTCTTAATGCTGAGCGTCAAGCGATGCAGCTGTTAGTACCATTTTTGTAAGTCTTTGGTATGACTCGACCGGGGATCGAACCCACGACCTCCCGCATCAGAGACGGACGCTCTAACCACTAGGCCACCAAAGCCGTCTACCCATGATTAATAGATTTATGAAAGAATCAGAAAGCAGTTTATAGTTTTTCCTAGAATGTAACCCGATGAACCCCTTCCTCTGCTTAAGAAAACACGCGTGCTTTTTCACAAAAATCACCAGAAGTCAAGAGTTATTATATAATAAAAGAATATTGATTTAAGGAAATATATTTGGTTTGATCGTTTTATCCCTTATATCACCGGTTTTCTAATCCTCCTAGTTGGACTATTCCCTAATTTGATTGAAATTCTATCTCTTAATCTGCTCATAAGCTGAAAGAAAATAATATATTCATCACATTATATACCAGATACCAGTCTACTGCATCATTATTCACAGTATCATTTCTCTAGACTTGTGAATATTTCTTGATTTATTCATTACTATTGATTGATAAGGGCATCACAACAATCACTCGTTTGATCTCATCAAAGATGCAGAAATAATAGCCAACATATCGGGTGTGGGTTTGCTTATTCCTCGTGTCTTCGGTTGGCGCCAATCTCGGCAGACGACAGTGGTACAGTTATCGCTTAGATCAGAGGCTTTTTCAAGCAGGCGAAGTGTGACATCCAAAAACGCCAATTGATAGTTGTATTAATGTATCAAATAACATCCTGTGGACCGCTACAAAGATTCAGACAATTTCAGACGAAGAAAAAATGTTCAGTTTTCCTTCGCTCGCGTGTAAAGATGTAAATATTACATTTAGAAACACTGCAGACGAATTTCCTGCAGTAACATCATTGATCAAACATGTAAGCATGACGTATATGGAGTACATAATTTGCGCTTCGGGATCAGACAAGTGCACACATTGTCAAATAATCATTGATTTAGCTGCATGATAAAATCTCCTAAATATTGGGCGTGGATAAATATCGTCATAACAATTAAAACTCTCTGAGTTTGCATTTCTCCCAACCCAATCCTCCCCACCCCCACTTCCTTATTTTTTTCTATAGTTATTGTGATGTGATGTGATTATGATTTTTAACGTAGCTTTAACAATTTTTTCAGTCATATCGCTGTGATGTCTGCAGTGTGGCAGTTTATAGTGATGTCTAGCACTGGGGAATCATGCCGCAGACATGTAGCATGATGTCCCACCCAGTCACATTATCCTGACACCAGGCCAACCAGTCCTAACACTAACCTCCTAATGCAGAGCGCCAAGAGAGGTAGTTGTCAGTACCATTTTTGTAAGTCTTTGGTATTACTCGACTGGGGATCGAACCCACGACCTCCTGCATCCGAGGCGGACGCTCTAACCACTAAGCCATCGGAGCAGTTCTCGATAGTTATTGTGTAACATCAGTTTCGCTTTTCCTTTTGTTTCTCTTGTTTTGTTTGGGGGATTTTTGTGGAGTTTACCGCCATTTCTTAGCGCATGGTTGCCTGTATACTGGGAGAAGAACGCCGGGAAGAACCACCGACCAGTGGAAAACTATTGGAAGCCTTTATTCATAACCACGTTGGTTGATGAACCGAGACTCGAACTCACGCAGACAGGGGTCAGGTTTGCTCTGTAAAGGAGACTGCCTTGGACCACTCGGTCATCTACATAACATGGAAATAAAGTGATGACGGTTCGAGCATAAGTGTATTGATGAGCTATGATATCTTCTATGTTGATCCCAAGACCACGTAGGTAATATTGACAATACAATGTGTTGATACAATTATATTGTAATGCTTAGGAAAAAAAAAGTGTCCTGATTTTATTCGAGATCACAATGGCCTTGGGCGAAGAGCTTTATCGAACGGATATAAAGGAGCCAAACCTGTAAATTCAACGAGCTTGGCATCAGTCCCCATACACTTACAATGGAAACTAATATAAAACCTGGAAGCAGCTACCAAAAAATGTAACATGGCCAAGACGAGTCAAAGACTACATCATGTGACATCTGGGGTTCGCCGCGAGCTTATAATGTCTAATTTAATTTTAAGTGCCAGCTTCTTGGCCACCTCCAATGTTTGGGTTACAGATAATCATCGGCAAGGAAGCAAACCAAAGACCTCGCAGTAACAAAGCCCCAATGAACCATATTCGCTTGGAATTTGTTGCCCTTTCGTGTGAAGTTGTCGTTAAACAAATAAGAACATGTGACTATCGCGGATCAAATCCCAGACTTCGGAGGAACAGTTTAAGACCCTAATACATATTAATTCATAATTCTTTGAATGATATAGTCTGAAAAAGCAGTTTGCTTCAATTCCTTTTCGCTTTTGCTTCCTTTACTTGCTATTTGCATGACAATACACTTGAGAAAAGTGCAGCCAGGAGACAAATTTAGCGTATGGAAAAAGTTTTACACTTGTATTAACTATCTATACGCCATCTTACTACAGCATAGTACTAATCATGTATCGGCAATATTTTAGGAAACAACTTCATGTCGTTAAACTTTTACGAATCGTTTCCAAATACATGTGGGGCAGATCACCAATAACAAGCGTTGATTGTCTTGGATAATTGATAAACCGTTTAGCCCCACTGTCAGTCATCGTTTATTCCATGTTCAAATGGATTGGTACCCAACGTAATATGCAAACCATTACGCGCATGAAAAGCTATGCTTGTCTGACGTACAGTCTTCAGTACTATTCGTACTCGTACAAGGTTTAAAATTAAATCACTTCATTATCTTTAAATCAAGTTTCTTTGAATATGACATTCACACTCGTGCTTACTCAAACACAAAACAAAAAAAAATTCGTCACGTGGCGTAACTCTTTCAAAAGAAAACGTAGACTTCATGTACAACTTAATCCGAGTCAGTTTCGATTAGGATTAAATGCGGTTGCCATGGTGAATATTTAAATTTTAATACAACTATTAAGATTTATGATAATTTTGACAAACGTGGAATTACTTCATTAAATTATTCTTCACTTTCATAATTGTTTAAGGCCAGCTATTTTTTATACTGGTACTATGGGGTCCAGAAGTAAAGAAGAGTCATATGAACTCAATAGGTGATGGAAAGTTCTTCAATTTGTGTGGTCGAGCTAGCTTTTCTCATAATTATCGGTCGTAATAACAAAGTGGAATTCATGACAAAGAGAAAGGGGCATGCCAAAAGCTTAAAGTGATATATCAGTGATCAAACTGTTCGAAAATGTTATCTTGAAATGGAATCCAATTTCAGGCATTATTTCAGATTATCGCACGATTAACTGCATTGAATTTCAGCGATAGGAGTGTTTGAAGGTGTTAATTCTTCTTTAACTGTCTACACCAACAACGTACTATAGTGTTGGATTCTCAAAGAATTATAAATGAAGTTGCCCATAACGTTGTGTTCGAAGAAAAAAGCGTTCGTACGCCTGTCTGTCTGTACCTACCGTTGCTACTGATTGTCATGGATATTTATGTTTTAATACAAAATATCTCTCTCTCTCTCTCTCTCTCTCTCTCTCTCTCTCTCTCTCTCTCTCTCTCTCTCTCTCTCTCTCTCTCTCTCTCTCTCTCTCTCTCTCTCTCTCTCTCTCTCTCTTGGTCACCTATATAATAATGATAGCCACACGTTTGGGTTCACTGCACCATACCATTTTCTCTCTAAATCACATAAAGGAAAACTAAACTGGAATAGTCTGACACGTCAAGAAATCTCTTTTCAAAATCTGGGCATAAGCTAATGACGTAATTTACAGCTTTCCATCAGCCTTCACAGCTGCCACGAAGTCGTTTCTATGTCAGTTCACTTCTGTGAATGGACAGAGGGGTTTAAAGTTTCGTGTTTCCATAGTATTTTGGAGCTTGGTGGGGACAGACATACATAAAACACACACACACACACGCGCACACACACACACCTACCTTGCGCTCAAACAATCGTTTGCGGATAGCATATTGCAATGATTATTGTCAAATCAGTGCTACTCGAACGTAACACTCTTATAGCTAACAAACGGTAGCATTTACCTTGAATAAAATATCTACTGCAATTCATATGCTTTAATCCATTTTTTAATATCACCTTCACATTATAATTATTTATGACATGTACTGTGTATGTATTTTTATTTAAATATATCATTCCAGATCGAATGAAAAGAAGGGAAAACAAGTAGGAAACAAAATGATAAAGTAAGTACAAGAAAATAATAGAAAAACAGAGACAGTATATCTACATTCACCTCGTAGAAGCCTCTAAGCAGTCGAAATCTCGCCCCTCGCTCCTCCCCACCCCCTCGCAAATTATCTCCTAATACGTCAAGATTAAATCAATTCAATATTATTTTGATCCGTTGTAGCAGGGCCCCTGCAAGGCGTGGGACCCATAGGGCGGTACCTACTTTACCTATTTGCTAATCTGGCAATGATTCACATGTGTGGAAGCTATTCTATAAAATTCCTAAAAATACTTGAGGGTTAAAAAGATTAACTATGTATTTATTACTGATTCCAATTCCATGAAAATAAAACAATGCAGATAGATGGAGAGAGAGAGAGAGAGAGAGAGAGAGAGAGAGAGAGAGAGAGAGAGAGAGAGAGAGAGAGAGAGAGAGAGAGAGAGAGAGAGAGAGAGAGAGAGAGAGAGAGAGAGACAGACAGACAGACAGACAGACAGACAGACAGACAGACAGACAGAGACAGACAGACAGAGACAGAGACAGAGAGAGAATAAATGAGATTAACAAAAGTTGTTTATGATTACATGCCACCCACCACCCTCACCCAAATAAACATCTTTTTTGGTGTGCAATAAGTAAAATATGGATGTGTTCTTCATCTCAAACTGCCAAATAACATATCTAAGGCTAATTGAATAAACTTACATACTACCAAATGACATATCTAAGGCTCTTTGAAGAAATGTACTATGTACACCAAGCTGTTCTCGGCTGATAATTTCCCTATACATGTACAAAGTATTACATTTCTAAATCTACAGAATAAATATTGGGTAAACATACTCTGGCATACAAGGTGAAGCTCATTATTAACTTAATATCGAAAGTCCCTTCATTCATTTAATCCTTGAAACAAATCTTCGCTTGTGTGATTTCATTTGATAAACAAATCCTTGCTTATGCTATTTCATTTGATCGACTAGCGTTCAATATCAAACCTTTGTAATGGTTTTGTTCTATGATATCGTGTATCGTTTATTATTTATGACATTTTATGGTGGTGAGGCAAAGGTCATGAAAAAAAACAAATATATATTAAATCTGCCTATTGAATTTGATAATTACAGAGCAATCTCACTATATCAGGTTCTTTGCAGAATAATCGTGTTAAATAATCGTGTTATCGTCTATATATATAGAACCAAATATCCGGGATATAATCTGCGTTACATATGTACACAAAATAAAAATAGATGTCGCTTTGGCTTGTAGACTTTTAGGGAATTATACAACGTTTTCAGTTTCCGCAACTAGTCTACACAAGCTGGTTGTATTTATAGTTTTAACACATGTGAAGATAGAAATGTAGAGGTTTACAAACGCAACGTTTTTGTGTTTATTTGTTTGTCGTAACTATGTTTTGTATTTGCCTTTGAAAAAGACTCATTAAGAGTCGAAAGCGCTTAGGCTAGTTAGTTACTAGTTTCGTACTGTTCGTCGTCAGTTTATTGCATCTATTTTAATTAATCCCTGACAGACGTGATCCCTTGGTGGATCCAGTACGCTTGAGAGGGTTGTTATTCGCCATATGATTTGTATTCTTTATATATATATATATATATATATATATATATATATACATACATACATATACATATATATATATATATATACATATACATATATATATATATATATTATATATATAAGCATATATATATATATATATATATATATATATGCTTATATATATATATATATATATATATATATATATATATATATATATATATATATATATATATATATATACATACATATACATACATACGTGTGTGTGATTTGATCTGTACTCAGTATTATTTTTATATCAGTCGTATTCATTATCGTAAAACCAAATGCACGGACAGTGTCAGTGCGCGGAAAGAAATTGTATCATTATCAAACATCACTTTGATATGTTTGGTGGTTTTCCTCCGGCTATATGTAGCACATACGTAACGACCGAAAAGGGTGACGATATCCCAATTGTACTTTGTCCCCTTCAGTCATATTGTTCCATGGGAACATATGTACTTTAGAATCTAGTTCTCGATGGCGACGAATTATGTCCATGATTGTTTCCTCCTCTTTACAGAAACAACTGTATCTAGCTATCAGTAATGTTTTATAGTAGTATCATATACCACGAATGCGAGCTGATTTAG